ACATTAACTTTAAAAACCCTTTAATTCGATTATGAAAACCCTAAGTATATTTTTTTCGAAAAAAACTCAATTGTTTCGACAGATTTGATTAAAACACGCCGAGAAATCTTTAAATTGAATCAAAATTGACGTTATTTTGATCTAATTCGCCCTATTTAGTTTGTTTTTGAACAAGAAACCAACTTATTTCCCCAAATTTCATCAAAAATATCCGAAAAATCACGAAAATGATCCAGTTTAAAAGTTTTTTGATTCAAATTAAACAAAAAACTAGCGAAAGATTTACTTAAAATTTAAACAAATTTTAATTACAGAGTTTTGTTTAAAAATTCATCCCAAAAAAAACAAGAGAAAATATTAATTTTCTTTTAACTGTTTTATTTTTACATTTTCAAATGCGATTTCTCATTTGCGTCTTCAAAAATGCTGTTAATGAACTGGTTTGGGTGCGTTAACAGCCTAGTGTATTTTATGTTTTCAATGTTAGCGACAAGAAATTGTTTCAATAAACTTACAAATTTCTGGAATTTTCGGCAGCAAACATGAAAAAATCTTAAGAATTCATTTTTAGACATTGCTAAGTATTACTAACTGAAGCAAAATTTCCTAAGTTTATTTATTTTTTCTTTAAAAAAAAAAAAAAAAACCCAAAATACCGTGCGATAAAAAAAGTAAATTAGAGTAAACGATGATTAATACTCTACACTTGGCAACACATTATACAGCATTTTTGTAATAACTTGCAACAATAAAAATTTTCTGCTCTAAAGTGAACATTATTTTACTTAAAATGAATAAAACTCAAAATTCCGCAAAGTTTCCGCTGACATTTGTCAAAATGTCAAAATGATGACAAAATCAGGTTTGCCATCAAGTTTTTTTTTTGATCGCACGGTACTAAAAATAGTATAAAAGTAACTATTTAAGTATTAAACTAGAAAATAAAATATTTTATTAAATTTCAGGGATGAACGACTTGCTCAACGCCATCATGAGCCTCCAACTACCCTTCGCAACAATCCCAACCATCGCCTTTACCAGCAATCCTCAAATCATGGGCGAATTCGTCAATGGATGGTTTAACAAAATCGCTTCAATTCTACTCAGCGTATTGGTAATTGGGATTAATACGTATTTCGTGGTTGAGACAATGAACGAGTTGCACCTCCATTGGTATGCACTTGTTTTCGTCATCATAATCGGGATTTTCTATTTGATTTTTTGCGCTTATCTCGTAATCCACATGGCCATAAGTATGGGAAATACGAATCTGTTACGCTATAATCTAGTCAAGAGATACATTATGGCCCCCATTGAGTCGCAATTATCCGTCAATCCCATCAGTTATTCAAGGTAAGAGGGCTTATTCACGATGCGGAATTGTTTGTCGGGGGCGAGCTTCACTTGTCTGATTTTTGATTACAGAGAGCGCTTGATTGAGACTACTTAAAATGGAGAATTGCTGGGGATGTGTATGTATGTTGTTTGCTGCATTTGTTATGGCTTTTTTCACTGTTTTTCTTTGTTTCTTTTCTTAATCACTAATTTTCCTCTTATTCTTATTAACAGCTTAAAGAAACGTGATAATATACTAATCAGTGGTGTTAAGTTTTAAACTGTGAGTATTGTTTGTCACGGTTTTATTATCGTGATGATGATTTATGGTGGTTTCAGGTCACAATCAGATTGGACTTTGGACGGTAATATGACGGAAGTTCCGAGGTTTTGACGTCAATTTTAGTTAATTTGTAGACTTTTGATAATGTGTGATATTTGTAATTTGTAACAGTTATGTTATGTAACGAAATATATTTTATTAGGATTTTTCAAACTTTAAAAGTTCTCTTTTACCTACCAAACATGTAAATAGTCCTTGTTTGCTAAATAAATTAGTAGTAGCAAAAATCGCCTGTGGTTGCAAAAATAGAACAAAAATTCCCTGGTTGTCGCAAAAAATTGAGCTAAAAATCGCCAGAAACATAAACCATAACAAAAACCGCTTGTGGGTTTTGTTAAAAATTTGGAGCTTGGGTTGTATTTTAAAAATATTTTAGAGAAGTTAATAGTAACAAAAAATAAAACAAAAAATCGCCACTAGTTGCAAAAAATAGAACAAAAAATCACTGGTGGTCGAAAAAAAAATCTGCAAAAAATCACTAGAAGCATAAAAAGTTGAACAAAAAACCACTTGTGAGCTTTGTTAAACAAAATATAAACATCAGGAGCATGGGTTGAATTTTGAAAATAATTTAGAAAATTTTGTAGTAACAAAAAATCGCTGGTGGTGGCAAAAATTAGAACAAAAAATCGCTGGTGATCGCAAAAAACTGAACAAAAAATCGATTGTGGGCTTTGTTAAAAATCAGGAGCTTAGACTGGATTTTAAAATATTTTAGAAAATTTAGAAAAATAGAACAAAAAATGGCTGGTGGTCGCAAAAAATAGACCAAAAAATCGCCAGTAATCACAAAAAAATGAGCAAAAAATCAGCCAGTGGCATAAAAAAATTGAACAAAAAACTGCTTGTTAAAAATTTGTTCAGCATCAAGTTTGAATTTTAAAAATTTTAGTGGTAAAAAAATTTTGTGGATTGGGATTTGGGTCTGGGTATTAATACTACCGCCAACTGTTTTATTTTTATATTTCCAAGTACGTCTTTTTAATAACACTGTAATTAACAATAAGTATATTTGGCCTTGATGTGGATACTGATATCACAAAACACACTAATTAAGCTTTAAAAATATTCAGTCGTTGCTTGTAAAATGAAACACATTTTTAAAATACGTTGGTGACACTGTTACAAAATTTAATCAGTGTGACCAACTGGTAACTGCAAGTTTTTGGCCCCTGAGAATAAAATACGTATATTGAAAAATTAAGCCACTTCATCGATTGCCAATCTCGTATAATCATTACTATTCGTTTTAACTTGTTTAAAACAAGCAATTATGACCCACAAAAGTGAAATAGAAATTAGAAAACCAATCGCAATACTAGAATAAATAAAAATTGTATTAAAATCGCCAAAATTTGAATTTTGACATTCCAAATCCCACTGTTTTCGTGTAATAAGAACCGGTTTTAAAATTCTAATAAAATCGTCAAAATCGCAGTCAAAATCACACCCTTTTAGTGCAATTTTCTGCACTTGAGTCGAATTCTTATAAAAAATATTAAGATAAAAACTCGAATTGCGCCTCAATTCGAACATAATCGTGCTAGCATAGGGGGGACAATGATACTCGAAAGCCCCCATTGTGTTAAGTACATTGGCAATAGTGACATCATGCCCCGAAAAAACTAGAAATTTGCGAAAACCGTCATTTTTTGTAGCGTTACGAAAATGCTCAACAATTTCGTTAAAAAGGGGCCCTGTTTTGAGCCTCGCCAACTCTTCAGTATAGCACTGAGTCGCGAAGCTAAACCGGGCCCAGGGGGCCATTTTCTCAGGGTAAACCCCCGATGTCCAATCCGGTAAAACAAACTTATTCAAACTTTCGATATACAAAGTATTGTATAAATACTCAAGAGACTCAAGTGACGCGATTTGGGCCCCCGAATTCTTGCTCAAATAGGCGTACAAGTCGCGGTTTTCGCGAGAGATATTGAGGAAAAACTCGGTTTTGAAAAGTTGGGTTAGGAGCGAGTTGTATTTGGGGCAATATTTCTTCATTGCGAGGAGGTTGTCCTCCAGTTCGGGGGTCGTATGGACTGGGATTGGCTGCCAGGGCAGCGTGGGGTCCCACACTTGGTCGGCTTTCGGGGGGTACAAGCCGGCCAAGTTGGCCTCGGCGGACATGAGAGTCCTATCAACGTCAGTCGACCGGATGTAGAAGTCCCTCTCTGAGTAGTGGGGCGACAGGAAGCCCCCGTAACGCTGACGGAGCCACTGACCCAATTGGAAGTGGTGCTGTTTGCCCAACTAATCAAACGAATGATTTGTGCGCAAATGGGGGCTACTCACATTTGTCAGTTGACCGAAGCCCACGGGCCAGTAGGAGGCGTTGCGGTAGGGGTCTCGCGGGTACGGCTGGATGGGGGTCCGGTCGCCATGCCTGTAAATCTGCAAAGACATGAGACACCCAGGGGGCTATCAACACTCACCACAACCACGGAAATTAAGTCATCACAGAGCGAGACACTAATAAGTACACAAGCTACCACTAGTCTAAACATTGTACTTTGTAATCACAGCATTTTTGTTTATCAACATATGGTTCAAAATTTTTGACAACTGACAACCAGTGCTACCAACTCACACAACGCCACCGTGATTCATGCAATTTTCACACTTTTGGTGCAATTACACGAAAAAACATTGACTATTTCAGTGGAAAACAATCTTGTTGGTGCCGAATTTATCACAGACGAGAAGAAAATGTGATTTTTGCCCCAACGGGGCCCTAACCTCTCGCCAGGACTGCCAACCGAAATTCAAAAAATGGCGGAAAATGCGGCTAATTTCACATTCACATCGCAGAATAAACCCTCGATTTTCGAAATAATTGCTTCGAAATCACTCAACGACACACTTCACCCGGCACTCCAGAAAATCGCACTGGTAAGGATACGATTTATTGGGTCGGTTTTAACAATTGTAGTTTTTGGCCACAAATTGCCCCCAAAAATTCAACTGGTTGGGTAAATACTACGACGAACTGTTTCTTCTATTAAATTGTGGGCTCCAGTATGGCTATTTGCGCAATTACGGTGAGTTTACCCCTTTAAAAATTGTTTTAATTGAATTTCAGACGCCACATTTTCGGAGAATTTCTACGGTTTGAAACGGGTCTTGGATAATGATAATCAATTAACAAGTCACCATCGACGCATTTCCTTGCTTTTCTGCGTGTTTTTGCCGTATTTCAAGCGAAAATTGGACGAAAAAGTGGCTTTGTACCGTCTTGAAAACGCCGATGGTTGTTTGCGTAATGTATGCTTGCCAATTTAATTGGCCCGAGTAATAAAAATCCCTAGAATTTCGAAGGCCGTTTCAAAAAATTATTAATTTTGTCGCACTCGACTTTCGAGATAACATGGGGGCTGCTCACTGTCTACAACTACATTCAATACATGTCGCACCAAACCGATGCTCAACTTCCGATTCTCCAATTGATTGATGTTAAATTGGCGTATCCAGAGCCACTTCCAGAGGAGCCAAGTTTCTGGTCGCTTTTATTCAAAGGGCATTTGGCGGATTTATGGCAATTGAACGTTTTGAAAAACGCGATTACGAGTACGTTTGAGATTGGAGCGTTTTTCTTACAGTTTTTGCAAGCTTGGAGCACCCACCAAAATTACAATGTGACAGCGTTGCCAACTGTCAAACCTCCAATGGTGAGTTTAGTGACACAATGTTGGTAGCAATGTTAATTTGTTTGTTTAGCTTGATGGGAAGGCCCGAAACTATCAGAATAAGTGTCCAATTTGTTTGCAATTTTGGAAAATACCGACTGTTCTTCCCGTTTCCGGGTACGTGTTTTGCTTTCCTTGCATTTTGCGGTATTTGAGGGAAAACCAGAAATGTCCTGTTACAAGCCTTCCCGCCAAACCACTCGACATTGTCAGGATATATGATAATGAATAAAACACATTATAGTTGAGAATTTTTTATTGAAATAAACATGCAATTGTAAAAACAACAAAAAGCCACACTTTTTGTCAAGCAAAATGATAAAAAATATTAATAAAAAACGAAAAAGAAGTCTCAAATACCTGGGAATACATCCACGAGGTCCTTCCGGTACACTCATCCTAATCCTAGTAATCCTATCCTAATCCTCAAACAGTTTTAAATCCACTTCATCGCCAAAATCCTAGGAAAAGCATTAAAATCCCCCGAAAATTTATTTTTGTATAATTTAGTTATAAAAAATCCTTATCCTAGGAGTTTGTCCTTTCCTTTCCGGTGAAGTGGAGATCAAAATCCCGTGTTTGTGAGACCTATCGCATTGCAAAACATCTCGTTTAAACACTGATTTTTCCAGAAAATGAAAACGTGTCAATCTTTTTTTGAAATGATTGTGTTTGAATGTTAGAAAAATTGAATATCTTATTTACCGAGCCATTTAATTGTGTGGTGTCCTCTCAACACTCCGAAAAATGCAATGCTTAGTGTGTTTAAAGTTAAAAATCCTCCTCCACGATCTTTGAGACTCCCTCCTAACAACATTCATCCACTCCTCTTGCATCCGGGTGTGTCAAAGATAACATTTTATTGTCTATTATTTACTAGCGACTTTATTATTTTTTCCAAAAACCAGTCCAACGCTGATTGACTCAGCAAATTGTACGGTAACAGAAAAAAGAAACAATACATATTAGTGCCTTATCGATATTCTAACCTAATTGAAAATTTTTATAAAATTTAATTCTAAAAAAATTACATGAATGGAGGAGAGAAAAAACCGATTTTTCCAGGAATGTCAGGAGAATTAAAACAAGCACATTTACAAGTACAAATCCCAGGGTTACCAACCGATTTTTTTCTCTTTGAAATCATCAATCAAATTAAAAAAACCCCGGTTTTTTTGATACGTACATTATACAAAAAGGCCAGTCCGAAGTGTCGATTAAATTAGGAACGAGAGCGGCTCCTGGAGTAACTTCTTTTCACCGGGCTGTACGTCGGAGACCCTCTTCTACGAGGGGAATACGAACGACTGCGAGACCTTCCCCCTGACCGTCTATCACTCCCTCCACGATCCTCTTTCACCCTTATGTACGAAACCTCACCCTGAAACACCCAATTAAACCTCAAACATCCCCCAAAACAAGCCTCACCTCGTGTGACCTAAACCTCGAATCATCCAATTTCTTGATAGCGTATTTCATGTCTTCATATCTGAGAAACTCCACGACGCCTGAACCGTCCTTGAACGCGTCCGCGAAGCACACATCCCCGGCCTCCCGCATGTGGTCCTTCAAGTCCTGCCACGACCCCGACGGCGGCAACCCTGCAAAAAAATACAAAAAAATTCAATTGACGCTTCACACATTTCAAAATTGGTGATTTATCAAATACCAACCTGACAAAACTAAAGCCTAATTCAAGGACGTAACCATCTATTTTAAATTACAAGTTATTCTAGACGAATAATTTTGTTATGGTTGGTTAATGATAAATAATTTTGTAATTTTACCTTCGTGCGTGGTTAATTATTATTAATTTCGCGATAAAAACCTGGATTAACAATTTTGGGAACGCAATCGTGGGTGGCTGAAAACAGTTCTGCCACCCGTTTACACTAAAATGGGGTGACCCACCTGTCACGAGTACTCTGAACTGCGACCTCCTGGCCGGTGGCCCCCTGGAGCTGCGTCCCCGGTCGCCGCCGCCTCGACCGCCCCTGAAGCTGCCATGGCCGCCGCCCCTCGGGAACTCCACTCTCAAACGGTAGCCGTCGTAGTCGTATCCGTCGCGTGCGTGAACGGCGTCGTCGGCGTCCCTAAACCATCACACTGAAACGCATTTTGGGGCCACAAAGGGGCTTACCTAGGATCCTCGAACTCCACGAAGGCGAAAGGCGGTCCTCGGCGATTTTTCAAGTCAACGAATGTCACTTTGCCAAATTTGTAAAACAGGTCTTGGATGTCTTTGGTGCGGATGTCCGGGGGCAGATTCCCCACGTAGATTCGGCAGTCGTTGCGGCTGTTTGACATGATTTCGTTCTGAAAAGTGGACGAAATCGACGATAAACAAGAAAGAAAGATGGCGACGGGAGGGCGTTGCGATTGCAGCGACCTCTAAACGGGGCGTGGCGCCAAATTTGAATGGAGGGTAAACTAACAATTTATAAATACCCCAATATCTATTAAACCAGTTAGTGAAAAAGTTAAGTTCAATAGTGGACTTTTTCACCTGCAGATATAAACAATCTATATCGTCGTGTATAATACAACATTTTTTTCTATAGCAAGGCTTCAAATTTAAAAGAAAAAAAGAAAATTTCTAACAAAAGTACAACTTTTGGCACAAAATCGCAATTGTGTTGCTCTGTTACTATGAGTTACTAAAACATTTTATCTATCCTTTTGTTAAAGTGTTACTTTAAAGTGCTACTTTACCTATTTAAAGGAGTTGGTAAAGATATGAAATTTAACTTCTGATATAGAAGTTTTTTTTTTTTTTTTTCATCAGTACACTAGACGAATGTTAACAAAATAAGACAGAAAATTAAGTCTTTTGTAACATTTTATGAATTTAGAACGTTTTTTACTGAGAGAATTTAAGTAAATTAGAAAATAAATAAATTAGAGTAGGCGACGATTAATATTCTACAGTTGGCAACAATTTTTGCTGTAAATTTTCCACACAAACTGGAAGTGAAAATAAGAACTTTAATCACCGCCTTCTCTAATTAATTTTTTTTCGATCGCACGGTATTTTGCAAAACGAGGCAGAAAATTGCTAAATCAAATCTGAAAAAAATTAATTTCTATAAAATCAAGTGTGAAGCGCTTTATTTTTGCTAAATTAAGCAAAATTAGGTTTTTCTGCACAAAATCGATGGATTTTTAAAAATGAAGCAAACAAATTGGTTTCGTGAGAATTTTGACATTGTCACCAACATTAAAAACATAAAATACACTAGACTGTTAACGCCCCCAAACGAGTTCGTTAAAGACGCAAAATAGAAAAATTAATAGTGCCCAAATCATAGAGATGTGAATTTGTAAAAAGTGAGTTGTGTAAATCGGACTTTAAACATCCAATTGCTTTTTCAGGGACACATCTAACAAAAATGACAATAGTAAAAAAGTAGGGTTAAAATTCTTGATATATAAAAAAATCTACTGCGTCTGTCACAATAGTTGACACAATTTAGTTACTTCTGCTGCCAACACAACCCACACACTGGTGCGGACTAGGTGCTGCCAACTTTGCAATAAATTAAATGGCCGCGACTTTACCCGTTTTTAACAAAATAGTCCTTTGATCGGGATAAAGAAAGAAATTCCTTTGAAAGTAGTAATACACTGGTGGACACGGAATTTTTGGACGATTTGTCATTCGACTGACATAAAAATGTAAACGGGTCTTAGGCAACTAACCTCATTTTCGGTTTTTGTAATTTTTATCATAATAGCTAGAGAAAAAATTACAACAAATCAAAATAATTTATTAAACTTATATAAAAACACGTATTGCTGGCATTATTGTTTCGAAAAATTGACGCCAAAAATAAATTTCAACTAAAACTTTCGAATTTTAGTTCCAAACGTCAACCATAATGACAATGAAGCGTGGCTTACATTGACATTTTTTGAACTGTCATAAATTTGATGTCCAAAATTTTTATCGGATTTTTTTAATCGAACTTACGATTCAACAGAAGTTAGTTCTTATTACACTTGATCACTTTTTTATTGAATCATACATAACATGATTGACAAGGCATAAATACGATAGATTCCACAAAAAGGCGACAGAGGGCCGCTGCCAACCATAAAAAAAATAAATTTGACATAATAGCGCATTACATAATCGTGATTTTCGCTTGTAAAACGTGACCAAAAATTGGTTTTACGTCAAATTTGTATTGAAAAAGAACGTTTTTTAGGCTAATTAAAATACTGAAATTTTGTTATTGATCTGTCAACTGTCATTTGAATGAAGCATTGTCAACATGGCAATAATAGCCAATATAAATTATTTGGCCACAAAACTCACTAGACGTAGATCAGAGATTTGAAAATTCACAATTTTTCCTTTTTTATATGGTGGTTACTCGAATAAAATCGTTATCAGTGTAAATTTTATTATTGTTTTTTGTTCGCTATCCCAATCAAGCTTCAACCGCATCCTTCCTTTGTTTGTTATTTTCTTGCGCTTTATAAACCCACCACCGCTCCTTCGCCCATCACAAACCCTCACCATGTCCAAGAAGAACCTTCTCCTCCTCTTCGACCGTCCCCAAGAGCCCGTCTTCATCGGCAAAGGCTCGAAAAAGACCGTCTTCGACATCCCCAACGAGTACCTCAGCGACAAGTACAAACCGTTGGGAATCTCCCTCAGCAACCGTTTCAAGCAAGACTCCGAAGAAAGCGTCTCGGTGAAGAAAATCTCAATTCCACCACTTGGTGAAATCCTCGATTTGGCACGTGATGAGAACTTCTCCCTGTTCATCCCCAAACACCGGCGAATTGCCGGCCGCCTCATCGACATCTTCCTCGGCATGCGCAACGTGGACGACCTCCTCTCCGTCGCGGTGTACGCCCGCGACCGCGTCAACCCCTACCTCTTCAACTACGCCCTCTCCGTGGCCATCCTCCACCGCCAGGACACCCAGGACATCGACCTCCCCTCGTTCATCGAGTCCTTCCCCGACAAGTACGTCGACTCCAAGGTGTTTGCGCAAGCGCGCGAGCAAGCCACGGTCGTGCCCGAGGGCTCGCGAACTCCCATCGAGATCCCGAGGGATTACACGGCGTCGGACTTGGAGGAGGAGCACCGATTGGCCTACTTCCGGGAGGATTTAGGGATCAATCTCCACCATTGGCACTGGCATCTGGTGTACCCCTTCGAGGCGGCGAGGGAAGTCGTCGCGAAGAACCGAAGAGGGGAGTTGTTCTACTATATGCACCAGCAGGTCATCGCCAGGTATAACTTCGAGAGGTTGAGCAACAAGCTGAAGAGGGCGACGAGGTTTAACGATTTCAATGAGACCATCAAAGAGGCCTATTTTCCCAAATTGGACAGTTTGGTGTCGAGTCGGGCTTGGCCCTCACGAGTCGCCAATCAGAAATTGAGGGATTTGAACCGGGAAGTCGACCAAATTAAGCAAGATGTCGAGGATTTGAAGCGGTGGAGTGACCGGATTTATGCAGCAATACACCAAGGGAGTGTCACTGATGTGAGTTCATTATCTTATCAATTTTTTTCAAAAAAAATTTTTTAATTTTTTTTGTGTCATGTCACTGAAAAACCTAATTTCGTCGTTTAAAAATTGCATAATTATGACAAATTAAGGTTTGCGAAACTGTCCCATGAGAAATTAATACAATTAGTTATGTAATTACATTAAAAACTTGCGATTTGACGAAAATTCACACAAGGGAATTTTATACGTTATGTATGGCAGCTCTGCTGTCAGCCACCTGTGATTCAATTTTGCAAATTGTGATTGTGATTTTACCGAAAAATGGCAAAATTAAGATTAATTAACTTTCAAAAAAACCACTAAAGTAAAGGTAATTTCAATTCACAAGAAACATAATTAAAAAAAAATAGTTTTTGCATAATGGTGATTCAAAAATGTCAAAGAAAATTTCTAATTTTTACCGAAAGTTATTTAAAGATTGCAGAATTATGACAAATTAAAGTTCGGGAAACTGCACAAAGGGTAATTCGTAATTAATACAATTATTACTTATGTAGTTACAATAAAAACGTGCGATTTTCTGAAAATTCACAGAAAGGAATTTTTTACGTAATGTTTGGCAGCTCTGTTGTCGGCCACCTGCGATTTAATAATTATTCATATTATTATTGTGATTGTGTTTTTATTAAAAAATGTAAAAAATTAACATTCAAGGAAGTCACTTAAAGGTAATTAAAGGTGATTTCACTACACAAGAAATGTAATTTTTCAGAAAATTTTCAGTTTTTGCATAACGTTGGTGATTCTGTCAATGTCAAAAAAAAAATCGATTTATCCCGAAAATTGTTTAAGATTGCAAAATTATGACAAATTAGTTTTGAAAACCGCCTCAAGAATAATTCGTAATTAATACAAATACATATTATGTAATTACTAATTACAATAAAAACGTGCAATTTTCCGAAAATTCACATAAGGGAATTTTATAGGTAATGTTTGGCAGTTCTGTTGTCGGCCACCTGCGATTAATAATTTTTCACATTGTGATTGTGTTTTCATCAAAAAATGGCTAAATTAAGACTAATTATCATTCAGGAAAGCCATTTAAACATAATTAAAGGTAATTTCAGTACACAAGAAACGTATTTTTTTTTTATTTCAGTTTTTGCATAACGTTGGTGATTATGTCAATGTCAAAAAAAATTCGATTTATCCCGAAAATTGTTTAAGATTGCAAAATTATGACAAAATAGTTTTGAAAACTGGCCCAAGAATAATTCGTAATTAATACCTATTATGTAATTACTAATTAAAATAAAAATGTGAGATTTTCCAAAAATTCACATAAGGGAATTTTCTACGTAATGTTTGGCAGCTCTGTTGTTGGCCACCTGTGATTTAATAATTTTGCACATTGTGATTGTGTTTTCATCAAAAAATGGCAAAATCAAGACTAATTATCATTCAAGAAAGCCATTTACACATAATTAAAGGTAATTTCAGTACACAAGAAACGTAATTTAAAAAAAAAACAGTTTTTGCATAACGTTGGTGATTATGTCAATGTCAAAAAAAAAATCGATTTATCCCGAAAATTGTTTAAGATTGCAAAATTATGACAAAATAGTTTTAAAAACTGCCCCAAGAATAATTCGTAATTAATACCTATTATGTAATTACTAATTAAAATAAAAATGTGCGATTTTCCGAAAATTGACACAAGGGAATTTTATACGCAATGTTTGGCAGCTCTGTTTGTTGTTTTTCACATTGTGACTGTTTTTATTAAAAAATGGCAAAATTAAGACTAATTATCATTCAAGAAAGCCATTTAAACATAATTAAAGGTTATTTCAGTACACAAACAACGTAATTTTTCGAAAATTTTCAGTTCTTACATAACATTGGTGATTCTGTCAAAGTAATGAAAATTTCCAATTTAACCCGAAAAGTGTTAAAAAATTGCAAAATAATGGTAAATTAGAGTTCGGGAAACCGCTTCAAGTATAATTAATATAAAATTATTGATTTAAAAGCTAAAAACTAAATGATTACGTCCTTGAAATAGACTTACCTTTTGTCAGGTTGGTATTGCAATTTCGGTGAAAATGTTGAGTTATTCCCCTAGGAACGTGGCCGCAGCATCACCCTCACCGAGAACGAGGGCATCGACATCCTCGGCAACATGATCGAGTCGAGCATCCTCTCCCCCAACCGCACTTACTACGGCGACCTCCACAACATGGGTCACGTCTTCATCTCGTACATCCACGACCCCGACCACCGCCACTTGGAGTCTTTCGGTGTGATGGGTGACTCCGCCACGGCCATGCGAGACCCCTTTTTCTACCGCTGGCACTCGTACATCGACGACATCTTCCAGGAATACAAGGCAACCCTCCCTCGCTACACCGAGAACCAACTCAACTACCCGGGAATCACCGTCAGTAATATCGAAGTCCAGGCGCAGGGGAGTCCCAAAAACACCTTCAACACGTTCTGGCAACAGTCCGACGTTGATTTATCCCGCGGGATGGACTTCCAGCCTCGAGGCTCCGTTTTTGTCCGCTTCACACATTTGCAACACCAACCTTTCAATTACAAAATCACTGTTAATAATCAGAGTAATGGGAATAGGAAAGGCACCTGTCGGATCTTCCTCGCGCCAAAATTCGACGAAAGGGGGAATCCCTGGCTGTTCCGCGACCAGAAAATCATGTTCATTGAACTGGATAAATTTACAGTTAACTGTAATACCGACTTGCTTATCCCCTCCACGTCAGTAACTATATTTTTTTGTAGTGAAACAGGGGCAAAATACCATCACTAGGGCGTCGACCCAGTCCTCGGTGACGATCCCCTTCGAGCGGACTTTCCGTAACCTGGATTTGAACCGTCCCCAAGGAGGAGAAGAATTGGCCCAGTTCAATTTCTGTGGGTGCGGATGGCCCCAACACATGCTCATCCCCAAGGGAACCCCCGAAGGGATGAAATCGCAACTTTTCGTCATGATTTCCAACTACGATGATGATAAAATCGAGCAAAACACGGACGGGATTTGCAACGATGCTGGGAGTTATTGCGGGATTAAGGATAAACTGTATCCCGATCGAAGGTCAATGGGGTATCCGTTTGACCGGATGCCCAGGAATGGGGTTGACACTCTCCAACAGTTCCTGACCCCAAATATGCGGGTCCAGGATGTCACCATCAAGTTTAGTGACAGGACTGTGAGGCCCAAGCAACGAAATTAACTTTGTAACGGATTACTGATTCGAATAAATTGAAGCATTTAATTGGTTATTTTTTTCATAAAATTTTTGCGTTGGTATGACTGATGACGAAAAATGGGTTAAAACTTGCACATTTATGACAAATGCGAGCTTGGGAAACGGCTCAAAGAGAAATTAACACAATTATTCATTTAATTACGTTCAAACTCGTGATTTTACGAAACTACTAGGGAATTTGAAGCGCCAGGTGTGGCACTGGCACCTCTGCTAAATTGTGAGGTTGTGTTGTCACGTCTTGAAAACTACTAATAAATACAATTTTTATTCATTTAGTTCATGTTTGAGAAGTACCAGTTGCGAGTACGTGGTGAAAGGACAGTTGGCACACCTGTATTGCGTCTCACTCGCCCGTGATTCACCCAAATGGGCGCTACCAACATGACGCCACAAATCAGTCTTGAAAAAAGTAGAAAAATCACAAAAATTGCACTTGTAGTCTCTTTTAATCACATTGGAGCACGAAAATAGTGTTTTTTTTGCTTCAATGTTGACTTTACTTATGATAAACACCTGGGGAATGATACACAGTGGTTGCACCAGACCTAAAAACCCAAAGTTTTATAATCGTTAACAAAAAACTAGTTTGTGTACTGATTGGTACGCCTCCATGATCCTCAAGCTTCTCATTGGTGGTTTTATTGTGTCGTGGGGTGGGGAATGCGGGTAAATCCCCGGATGCCACATCTGCGGCTTCTTTGAGCACGTTATAGTACGTGACGTCGGATATTCGTGTGGCTGCTAACACTCTTTGTCTGAAGTTTGACAGTGGTATCACTGGTTTTCCTGTTCTTTGGAACACTGCTGCTTCATTTTTCATAAAATGTGTCACTCTTGCGATGATTTCACGCGCTTGGGCATGAATTATCTGGCCTTTTCGGCCGTAAGTTTTGGGTAAGTCGTCGACCATTTTAAAGCCACACCTTATCATGTTCTCGCATGTCCTAGGATAGGCAACACATTAAACACCGGTGTAGAATGTGTTGCATAATAATAAGCAAGAAAACGTAAATGATTATTTATTATCATCATCATTTTATTTGGTACAGTGTATGATACATGAAAGATAGATAACAATCAAGCCGCGAAATATATACCAACCAGTGGCCTTGATATGTGACCAGTTCACAACCTGTCAACGCACTCTTGAACCAAAACCAGTTGACAAGATTTCATAAAGCTGCATAAAGAATTATATACAATAGGGAATCAGAGGCGTCTCGAGACGGGTGACCCCACCCGAACCGAAAAATACAAAAATCATACACCAGATCGGGTCATGTGACGCGTTTCGAGACCAAGAGGGTGTCAACATCGATATTTATATCTATTTTTTTTTATATGTTACATAATAGAATTGTTTATTGTTTGTACAAAAAGAAAGATAACAGAAGTGCCAATACCGGAACGTGTCGGCGACGGCCGAAACGTCGCCGGTTGTGCGTGATGTAAAGAAGAAGGCACAACAAACTTACGACGATGATTTGTTGTCAAATGTGAGACACTCAAAAAACTTTAGGAACAACGATTCAATGGTGGCGGACACGAAATCTGACATTTGATTAACAAATCATTACGACATCAAAGAGTTGAAATGACAGTTGTGCCGATTATTTTTTAACAGCTGTTTTTGAAACCAATGGAAGAAATCATCACTTTAACAATTTCTAAGCTAAATCACAACAGTCTTACTTGTACGAAAACGAAACAAAACTCTCAAGGGGCCACTTCCTAGTCGAGAATCACAAAAATTAGCGCACGCCACTGGAGACACTGCGCGGTAAAAAGTAGTACTGCGCCAAATTTAATTTTGACATAAAAAAATCAATATTTTTTATTTAGTTGTGAAAAAAACGAATAAAAATCGTAATTTCAATCAGGGCCGTACCCAAGGGGGGGATTAGGGGGTTCAAACCCCCCGAAATGCTGAGCACTTTGTTATATAGTGTTATAAGTGTTAAAAATTTAGCTTTTTTGTTATTTTAGTGAGTTAATTTTAAATTTTTCTGAATTAATTATTCATGTGTTAATTATACAGTGTTCATTTTTATTGTTAGGTACAAATTTAAATAGTTGATAGAATATTTAATTTTAAGACAAAAGTGTTTCGAAAAATGCTATGAAAAGGAGCTACACCCCCTAAAAAAGGTACGTTTTTTAAAGGGTTTTTCCTAATATTTCAGAACAGATAAAATTACAAAATTTGGTACCTTTATATGTACACCTAAACAAATGCCAAATAACAAAATTTTTAATCAGGGGCGTCCTAAACGGTAATTTTTTTAAATTTTTATGCTGTTTATGGTCTGTAATATAAATTTTTAAACCGATTTTTACTAAAAATCCGTAAATTGTATCGGAAAAACCCAAAAGACCTTTTTTTAATGAAAAACTATGAAATTTTGTTGCTGAAAGTGGCAAGAAACCACAGGCAAAATAGTTAGAGTAAATTTTTACCCTAATCCCATCTAGTTTAGGAAGCCCCTAATTAAAAATTTTAACATTTAATTTTTGTACTTGTTTAGGTGTATAAAAGTTATCATCTGAATTTTTTTCTAAAATGATTTTGGAAATATTGAAAAAAACCTATTAAAAGCGCACCCCTTGCGTAGCATTTTTCGATATATGTTCATAGAAAATTTTTGTTTTAAAAATGAATATTCATCTCCTGTTTAAATTTGTAACAATAAAAAGTATTAAAATTATTTTTTGTTACTTTTGTAAGTTAATTTGTATTTTTTTGTTTAATTAGGATCTCTTATTTCAATTTAAAATAAAAACGTGTGCTTAGAGATTTTTTTTTAATCCGTCTTCTTTCATTTCATTTTCATGGACCAACAAGAAATAAAATTCTGGTTACGGCCCTGATTTAATTTCCAAAACAATACAAGTTGCCTAGCAACAAGCCAACTACGCCACACCAGTCAGTGGCGTAGTTGACACATGGGAAAAGGATGATCGAGGACTAGGAATCGCCGCGTTGCCAAACTTGGTGTTGTTTGCCAAGTTGTAAAGTATTTATCAACAACAATAGCAAGCAAATTCAACAATTGAATAATAATCCAGTAACAGCTAGTAATGATATTGGTCACTTTTGTACTTCGTACTTTAAATATATGATAATACTGAATGATTATTTGCAGCTTACATAGATTTGTATCTTAAGATATGAATAAATGAGTGTAAAATCGAAACGACATCACATAAGCTGCTCCGCAATTTGAACACTTTAGCGATATTATAACATTTGAGCGTCGATATGACGCAATAACCCGGTTCCAAAAACAGCTACAGAATCAATAAAAACCAACACAAATTTCAAACAATATTATTTCCCTCCGAGTCCGAACTTCATAAAAATGAGTTCTTTCCCTTTGGAGAGAATATCACCACCGGGCGCCGTAATCTCGTTCAATTTCTGCATAAGATTGGGCCCTTGTTGTTGTTGCTGCTGTTGTTGTTGACCCATCATCACATTGGGTACCACCTGCGGCACACCTTTGTGCTGTTGAAGTCGCGATTGATTTTGCCCCGAGAAGGGCTGTTGTTGACCGCTGAACGCTTGCGGTTGTTGCTGTTGTTGTTGTTGACCGAAAATGCCGCTAGATTGACCCGATGACGTGCTGTTGGGTTGGACGAGAGGCTGTTGTTGCTGTTGCTGGTTACCACCTAGCCTCATGCCTCTCCCCCTCCCCTAGAAAAGCACCGCGGGTCAAAAACGCGACAATTATTTCGTATCAACAAGAAATTACTCCCTAAAATTTAGGGATATTCGTGAATGGGTTGCCATAAATTTGGTTAGGTTGGTTTCTGGTGACAAACAAAAGATTTTGTAACTAGTGTCAAAATTTAGGTTAAGTCACCTGTCAGCCGTCAGCAACAAGGGATAGCCAACCATAGACATTCAAAATTATTTCTGAAAATTCTAGTTACAAACAACATGAAAAACGTAATTTTCCTAAAAGTTCAAATCCTAGGTGGTAATTTCTTGTTGACAAATCTTTAAAAAAATGTATTTTTGGGTGCTGGGCACTACTGGACACTAAAAACTACCGAAAACACATTTTTTGACAAACAAAAAAGCGCTTAATTTGTTATTGTTTTTTTAGGTTACAGTTCTTTTCACAATTAAAAAAATAAAATAGTGAAAAATAACTAAGGGCACCCTGTATGTTAATCGGCGATTAAAAATCATACAAACCGTGAATTTCTCCTTCATGCACCCTGTCTGACACATTGAAAGCTTATCAACGACATTAAATCGAACACTGTGTATATATGTCATTTTGTTGTCATGCCTCTAGCCACTAACATCGAAAATAGGAGGAAAAAAAGAAAACACTCAGTAACATAACCACACTTTTTTGAAGGAAACAGAGATAGCTGTATTCTATTTGATAAAAGAGAAAGAGAGAGAGCGAGTATTGGCGTAAATACCTGATTGTGCTCGGTGAAGACTTGTGTATTCGGTGTCGCAGTGTTGATAGCATTGTCTAACTGAGAGGGTAACACAGGGCAGGCATCTAGCAACAGACAACACACAGTACAGTCAGACGCTGCCTTACAACACAAAAAGACTCGTCATTTAATTCGTCGATATCTGTACAACATGTTTGACAAGTCTCCTCGATCTCTCTCTGGTTGGTAAATAAATTAGTACAGTTATCACCAACTAAAAGTGATAAGTGTATATACTCTTTTTCATATTAATGTGTATCAAGTAGGTTGTAGAAGTCTAAATGCAGCTTTAATTTAAAGGCCAATTCACACAAAAAGTGTCATTAATGTCATTCAGAACAAACATCAATAACGACAAAAACCTTTTATGTTAATTACGTTGTTAATTTAAATTATTTCTTGCTACCTGGGGTACACATATTTATTTTTAGGTAAGATTGAGGTTATGATTGTTTGAATTTTTGCATGGTTGCCACCTTAAAATGATCTCTTTCAACGACTACTTTGATGCACATTAATATGAAAAAATATAGTTTATTGTCAAACATGAGATACGTCAAAAATCAACTCTTTTATCATGCATTCTGATTGGATAAGGACGAGTCTTGTTGTGTCAAAAACCAGCTGAGAGAGAAAGAGATAGAGCTAGCGATTGGCATACATCGTTAGTGCAAACCGAACATTGAAAAACAGTTAAAGCTTCCGGTTTATTTCTTACGAGAAAAAAAATTAAACGAAGAAATAAACCGAGGTTACATCACACGCTTGCTGACACCGAAAAGACAATTTCAAGGGATATACAGGGTGAGTCAGTTGTGCCGATCTGACCCCATTATTCAAAGTACGAAACTAATTTTTTGCCTTGAATGAAACGCTAAATTCGTACTTTGTGTAACAAGGCCGTTATCCTCCGACTCACCCTGTATGTTATATAAAAAGGGGGAGTGTTGCTTGGTTAGTGTTCTCTGTTCTGTCCACCTGAAAACATGTAAGGGGGCAAGTGTGTGATGATAAAATTTGAGGGCGTGGCCTCTTGTCCCGTCGCACTTTTACCTTTATTCCTTTGCCTCAATTGGTTTTCTCGTGGCGGTGGAGGCGGTCCTCTCGCACCCGGTCCAATCCCTCTGCCGCCGCGTTGGCCCCGCCCCATTGAGCCACTCCCCGTTTGCGATGTCTGTCCCACACCGTACTGTTCCGGCGCCTCTGTGAGGAAATTCGACGGGACTAGCCCCCTCACCCCGTCGATCTCCCCCATATAAAACCCATCGTCGTCCATCTCCCCATACACGTTGATGATTTGTCCCGTAGTGAAGCTCAATTCCACCTGCAGTTGGGACAAACATTGGGGTAGAGCTTTTGCTCGTATCAAGCCCCGCCTATAACCCCTCCCAACATTTATAAGTGTCTCACCTCGGCATCCACATTCGGACTCAACTCCTGGGGGTCGTAGTCGTACAACGCAACCATACGTTTGACGGGCATGTTGGCGTAAATGTCGCCCCATCGGTCCCGATTCTGGTTCCCCTCCACCTCCATGACCATATTATGGGGCACATAACCTTTCCTCCCCTTGCACTCACCCCAGTAAAACCCATCAGCGTCCTTATCCCCAAACACTTTAATCGTATCACCTTCGGAAAAGGGGAGTTCCTCGTCACACGCGTCCGGATTGGGGGACATGGTGGCGGGGTCGTAGTCGAACAATGCGACGAAATAACGCGCCCTCTTTTGCGGATTGGGCGGATTTGGGTTGTTTGGACCCGCCCTCGCGCCTTGCATTTGACCCGAACGCATGTTCTGCATTCCGCCACGAGGATTGGACTGGCCTGGAAGCAAGGGCGGAGTCAGGGGCGGAGCTGACCCAGAAATGTGTGTTATTGGTCATGCGCCTACAAACTTACCTTAAGTGTGTGTTTTTATACAGGGTGGTTATTGTACAAATATAAAATTAAATTACAATTCAGCACTTTTCAATTATTGCAATAAAATAAAAATTGGAGAAACTGTCAGCAGAGGCAAAGCCGAGTTCTTACTACTACTAGCCAATTTTTTTAGTAATTTAATTTATTTTGAAGGGATGATATACTTATGTGATATTTTGCGTTACAGTTTTTTGTAATGTGTGCGTTAGTGTGCCACAAGATGGGCGACTCTTTGTTTAGTTTTTACCTTGTTGGTAATACTGTTGCTGTTGTTGTTGTTGCTGTTGTGTCGGTTGTTGTTGTTGCTGTTGTTCTCTTGTTTGTTGTCCTTGTCTGAACTGTCTTTGTTGATGATATTGTCTTTGATTTCGTCGATCCAACATTTCGTCTTCAGATAAATTAACTTCGTACGATTCTTTTGTTATTTCTGCAATGGAGCGTTGTGCTATTGTTTAGAAATAAGCGTCTAAGCGAATTAGTTTTTTTGGATTTGACACCAATTCTACCTTAGCCAACTCTATATTAAAGCTTCTAATACATCATGCCAATTAAGATTTTTTGAAAATGAAAAAAATTTCACTCACTACTTTAATTTTGGGAAAAGAAGAAAAATTTTTACCAATTGAGGGAATCCCCGATTGCTGTCGATGCGAGTTGCTACTCGGGAAGATCTCCTTGTCGCTCAAATTCTCATCTGGCTCTATAATCTGCACAAAAACAGTTATTTAACCTAAAAAATTGAATACGGACCTGTCCTTGCTGTTGCCTGGGCATCTGCTGTCGAATGTGGGCGGGCATAACCGCCGAATGCGGCTGTTGTCGGGCCTTGACTCCGCCCCGCAACACACTCATTGGTATAGCCGTCGGTACGGAATCCGCCGATTGGCTATCCCGAGCTTTAGTCCGCACAGTCACGTGTTTCGGATTCAAGCCCAACAATTTGCTGATATCAATTAGGGCGTGGTCACCGGTCGGGCTGTCAACATCTGTCACTTTTTTCCCATCGGCGTAGACAGCATATCCGGTTATGGTCGATCCTGGATGGTGGGGGGTAAGAATCGGATGCCACGTGACCAACAAAGTGCCATCTTGTGGCCCCGGCTCGACCATAATATCACTCGGGGGGTCCGGCAGCCCCTTTGGTAGCGTCCGGAAGTCGGTATGGGCGGCCGCCGGCATTGGCAAATCCTCAGCTAAATTGGCCACATTTTGGGCGGAGCGATGGTGTTTCGCCCGTACGGTCACCCGGTATTGGGTATTGGGGGCCAATCCGGTGATGGTATGTCGGTAAACCCCCGGTTTGACAGTTCGAACTTCAACATTATTGACACAAACGACGTGTTGATGGTTCGAGTTGGCTGGTAACCAACTGATTACAGCCGAAGTTGAAGTTATGTTAGACGCTCTGACGGCGCTGGGACCCAATTGGTGGGTATCTCGACCAATTATCATCGTACAAGCGGCGTCACGTGACGTGCGTCGATTGGTTGTGACAGAACGGACGCTGATGCGATGCGGCTGCGCAAACATGAATTGACATATGAGTCCCGAAAAGTGCTACTTTACGGACTTTTTACCCGATTGCTCTCGACGCCCTCGACAAGGGCCCGAGTCCGTTCCGTGGCCTTGATGGTGGTCTTGAGGACGCCGTCGACATAGACGTGGTAACTCTCGATGTGGTTGCCGGGGCCGACGTCAGGGGCCGTCCAACTGATCAACACGCTCTTGTTGAGTTGACGTTCGAGAGTGAGTTGACGTGGAGCCGGAACTAACACGGAGAAGAATAGGTCAGCTGTAGATCATTCAGTGTCAGTTCTAAAAGCTAAATTGTGCAAGGGTTACCCAGTCCTCAAGGTAATTAGCCAGCTCGTGACGGAGAAGACGACGATGAAGACAAACATCGAGAGAAGAAGAGGACCAAAGATGAGCAAGTTTGAGGAGAGATCAGGAGAGAGAGAGAGAGAGGAATAGTGCGTTTTTGCTGTCAAAACATGCATCTAACCTACGAGTTTTAGAATTGCACTAAGATTTTAACTATTTTAACTACAACTAAAGTCTGTCATTCCATTTATAAAAAGTATATCAGAGAAATACTACAGTGGCGGCTCGTGAGGGAAAAACCAAAAAATTAAAAAATTGGAAGAAAAAAACAAATACAGGGTGCGCCAAAACCCGCGCCCCAGAGAAAAATGAAAGATAAGATACCAGGGACATAATGTTAAAAAAAAATTATCTATAAAAATTTCGAAGTTATGAGGGTTTAAAGTTTGCACTTTGACTCTATTTATTTCTGTTGGAAAAATAATTTTACAAGTTTTTTTGCTATAGGCTATTAAAAGAGGAAACAAGGAAGCTGTATCCTAAATTGTAACTCTGTTCAATGTTACTTGTGGCTTTTATTGGCAAAATTTTTGTCCTTTTACTAAATAATTGTAAAAAAATGTCAAAATTTTTTGACAGATAGAATTTCTTAAACATTTTTTTCATGTTCCTGATATCTACGCGAGTTCTGGCGCACCCTGTATTTCAACAAGTTGTAGCAAATTTTTATTAAAAAAATATAAAACGAGGTTTATATTGCATTTTTTCTCTTTTTTCAAACAGGAAACAAAAATCGAAATATTTAGAAAAAAAAAAAACAAAATGAGTTTCCCTTGTTGTTTATTAGAAAAAAACAAGTTTTGCTATTTTTTTTTGCATTACAAAATTAATAAATTGGAAAATTTTGACGCAAAAAAACGAATATTTTTACGATTTTCATTAGAAAATAATTAATTCTCTAACCCAATTCTAACAGAAAAACTAGGAAAAACACAAACTACAGTTTTAACTCGTATTTTAAGCCCCCTCACAAGCCAACCAACTTCTACCGGGTAACTACAGAGTGATTATAAATGATTTTCATCTACCCAGCTTTAGATTTTTTTTGCATATAACTTTATTTGTGCCGCTCTACTTTTTTGAAAGCTCTAGTTCTATCATTAGTGTCACTTATTAATTATTAATAAATTGTTAATAAAACTTTTATTGTTTCAACTAATTTCCAACAATAATTGATAATAATGTATACTTTGTAAGAAAACAAGTTTATTATTGAATTCTATTTTCAAAGTGGACGGTTAGTAAACAGCGATTTTTTAATTTTGAGTTAAAGCAAGTAGGTAGGTACCCCTATTTTCGCAAAGCGGCATTTTTTATTTTACATGGAAAATTCACAACTGGTTAGATGAAAATCATTTATAAGGACTTTGTATTAATGCTTGTGACAATAAAATATATTGGCAACACTGAATTATTAGGAATCCTTCTAATTTGTTGTATAGACAATTGTCTGTAAAAGTTTGACGTTTGAATTTGAAAGTCAGTGTTACCAAACTAAAATTTTAAATTTCACTTCAACTTAAGGTAAAAAATCACAATCATTTACAGTCACCCTGTACTTAACCAACTGTCAAAAACTAAACTTTTACCCCATCGAGGCCCCAAATCACATGATTCGCGAGCCTCGACGACTAGATTAAATGCAATCATTATTCAGCCTAGTTCCTCTAGTTTCTATTGTTTCTACTCTAGGAAAAAAAAATTGCATTTAACTTCGAGCTGACTAGATTTACCTCTGGCTCTATGGGCCCAACCAACCAACGCCTAAACCAAATACCATGCCAAGCCTACCTTGCTCACCTTCAGGGCCCCCATCGTCTTCTTGCGTTTCGGACATTTCGGCCATTTCGTTAAGACGTTGAACATCAGCGGCGAAATTCTCCTGATTGATTTCCTCCTCTCGCAGGGTGCTAAGAACGGCCTGGTGGAACTCGAGGAGGTCGTCGCCGATGAGGCGTTGCACGAAGTTGGAAGGGACGAGACCGCGACGCCCGTCGAGGAGTTCAGCGTCGAGGTAACCCCCGGGACCCACAGGCTCGCCCCACACCAGGAGGTAGTCTCCGGCTTGGATGTTGAGCTCCTCCTCGGACTCGGGCTCCGGCTCGTACGAGAATCTGCAAAAAAAATCTTGAATAACTTTTTGAACTTTTAGGAAAATTACTAGATCATAACGTACAATTCACACTCGAATGTTTTGTATTTTTTCATTTAACTATTTTTTTTGTATCCATTATAAAAAATAAATCGTTATAAAAAAAAATATGTTCTGTAAGTTAATCTGTTGTAACCTCACTTTTTGTGTACTTCAAAGTATGTTTACAGAGTTGTCAGAATGTTGCAAACGACAGGTATCAAATGGAGTGGATAGGTCGTACCAAAACAAAATAAAAAATATCAACATTCACATAATGTGTATTTGACTGAGAATATAAATTATTATTTGTTTACAAGTAAAAATCTAGTATCAATTTGGTGCTATAGTATCACAACTGGCAACACTGTATGTTTAGCTTCAGTACAGTCTCGTCTGTGACGTCACCACAGTTGCAACTTGTACTAAATTATGCAATCAACAATACACCTGTGCACCAAAATAGTACTAAAAAAGGGGCGTTTTTTGGCACTAAATTTGTCACTGGAATCCAGTGTAACACAGAATTCTTTTTCTTTATATAAAAAGTATAAATTTGTGACATATTTAACTCTAAAAAATGTAAATGTAGCGTTGTTTTTTTTAATAAAGGTTTGAAATTAAATTTTGAATTAAACTTTCAAAAAAAAACGTCATTAAACAAATAAAAAGATATAAAACAATCACATTTAAACACAAAACTCTGTAAAATAGTGCTTTGTACAAATAAGCAGTCAAGAGTTCATAAAAAAAGGAATTTTGTCACACGATGTGCAATGTCGTCACTGAATCACTTAATTCGGTGAAAAAATTTTATTTAAAAAAACATTAATACTGTTAAGCATACTACAATTGTAATTATTAATAAAAAACAAGAAAATTATGTGCATATTTTAAAAAAATGTTTGCGGTAGGCAACTTTTAATACAACAGAGAAAACATTGCCTACTTTTATTACCAGTTAAAATCTGCAGTGCCTTGCCATGGAATCTTACCCCTTCCACGCAGTGATGCCAGATTAGGGAATTTTTCTCTAGTTCTAAGGATTTTCCTAACAAAATTTTTCTTAATAATATAGGGATTTTTTACATTTTTAGTAAAAATCTCAATTTTTTTCACACTGCTGGCACAGTTTCAAAAATTTTTATTGTGAATATTGTAACTTCGCCAAGTGAGCGCATTTGTATATGAGTTTAGAACATAGTAACGCGGAAACCAAAAATGTATTTTCTGTAGTTACATGTGTAAAGACAAAAAAACAACAAGATAGGAAGTGCACTAAAAGCCGTTTGCGTTTTTCGCGTTGCCAAGTTTACTAATTATTGCAGTTCATTTAATGTTTTAGACGAACAATTAAAATTAATAAAATTCCATAATTTATAAGTATAAATGAAAATTAAGTAGGTATCTAAATATACACGTTTATTTGAATTTGTTTTAATTGACTTGCATTTAATTTTTTTATTTCTTTAGTAAAATTTATTTTAATTTATTGTTATATTATTTATTGATTTTTTGTTGTTTGGCCTCTGAAATAGTATCTTTTTAATTTTTTAAGTAGTTTAGGGAATTCTAGGGAATTTAGAAGCTACAATCTAGGGACTAGCACTTAATCTCATCTGGCATCATTGCTTCCAGGCCTTATATTCTTGTCCTTTGCTGACAGGTGACTTAAAAGGCTCCAGACCCCCTGAAAGCTGGCGTATACCTATTACATGTAAATTTATTTCATTGTTTTTAGCCGCAAATTTAGACTTGAAAAGTTACTTGATGTTTGTAGTGTTTCTTTAAAGGTAAATGGAGACCAGAGAAATATTCCCGCTTTAAATAATTTAATAGATATTTTTTTATTGAATAAAATGTGAAAATTTTAATTATTAAGATTTTTTGATAACGGTATACCGTATTGAATTAAAAAAAAAAACAATTTTATAGGTAATTTAAAAATAGAGTGCCCTGATATAATGCGAATTTGATAACTGTTCTTGATTATTTGATATAAAGCAAAAATTAAATTGAAAGTAGGCAACCAATAATACACAATCATTTCATAAGGTCCGGTACCTGCTGTAAGATATACGACCGCACCCCAGGGTGTAACCCACAACATGATCGTTTTATTGCGTTTGTTCAAAGCAAAGATATGCATCTGCACCCCTCAAGAAGAGAATTGTTAGTTCATTCCAAAACTTCATTTTTTTAATTATTCGTCTATTTAAAAATAAATTAAAATAATAGATAGGTTTAATATAAAGGCACTAAGCCCAATACCTAAACCTAAAAAATAACAAATTAAAATATAATATTTATATTAATTTCACTGAGGGCGGTTTTCGTTTAGGAATTATTATATGGGTTGGTCTTTACGGACAGCTCTAATTAGCCAAACTAATTTTGTTTTAAAAATGATTCTAGGTATTTGTGGTGAGACACATATTATGTTTATTGTTATTGTGTTATGTGTATTTCAAAAAGTTAAAATAAATGGTCATTTAATTTCAACAATAGTATTTGAACCGACTAATCCATTTGGTGTTGCACCTAAAAATGTTTTTTCTTCATCAACAAAAAAGCCGCATGAGTCCACCTTGAAACCTGTGATTTGCTCAAACTTTTCCTTTGCTTTTTCTTCATTATCAATACCCCATTGTAGAGGTTCAGGCAATTTTTGAAATTTAGACACACCCACTATATAAGACATTTTTTACAGTATTTGCTGTATTGGTTTTACATTTCATATTTATAATTCTTCCAAAATTACTAGCTGTTAATCTGTTATTTCTTTCTTTATCCCACWGCTCATTATTACGTCAACCAATTGTTTCAATAGGGATTTTTAAAATATCGCAAGCAGCCAAATCATTCAAAAACTCACTTTTTATTTTTTCATATGTTTCCATTGGCATATCTATTATGTCATCCATCAGTCGCACCATAATCGGAATCTGCACTTTAAATACGAATTTTTCTTTTATTTAATTTCGCAGCTTGGGTTTCTGTGGAATTATTATCGACATCGTACAAAAAAAGACTTGAAGATAAATTTGCAACTCTTTTTAATGCCCGCATGAACAATTCAAACAAAGAACTATTTAAAAAATCAGAATATGCAACTGCATTTATTATTAGACCAACTGTTTTACAGAAATACGAAGTCCAATTTGAATGATCACCAAAAATATGTGCGGGTCCATTTAAAATATCATTTTTAAGTTTTCTGTTTTTTGATGAATTGTACAGCTTTCGTTTTTTCTGTATTTTATAGCTGAAATAAATTTCAAGTAATTGTTGCGCAAGAATACTACATTTGTATTTAAAAACACTTTAAACCACAAATGTGTTTCTAGAATGATGTTAATGTTCAAAAAACTACAAGAAAAAATGTTATGTTTTATGTTTTTTAATGCCAAAAATAAATGCCCTATGTCAACAATCCTTCGACCACTTGGAACAAAATTTTGTTCTTGACTAGTTTCTTTGTCAATAATAAACACTTCATCGTCATCGGAATTCGATTCAATTGACTGAAAACTACATTCTGCAAGACTTGATTTACTTGGAAGATCAGTTTTAGAACCTTTTCGTTGTTTTTTCCAATAATTACGCATCATTTTCGAATCTGTCTTTTTTTTTTGAAAGAAATTGTTTAGAATTATTACCCATAATTTCAATACAACGTTTTCAACAACAAGTGATAAGAAAATTTCAAAGCACTGCGGTGGAAGAGAGCCACTAGCAAACTGCAAAGAGTCAAAAAGTAAACAAGTTATAAAATTGTACGTTTTCAATATATAAGTCCCTACCACCACCCTAAAATTTAGCAAAACCCACCACTAAACCTTGTTTTTCAAAATTTTCTGGAACTGGGTTGGTATAAGCACCTGGTTTATCTGAGCAGAATGACTAATAATGAACCAAAAAAAAGTCATTTTTCTCTTGATTTTGCTCGTTTCAGGTGAAGCGAAAAATGTTTCTCCTTTGCAGTTTTGGCGTAAAATGAAAGATACATTTTTTTTTTAATTTATTAATAAATAATGATAGTTTTTGTTAAAAATGACTTTGTTTTTTATCTTAAAGCTATTTTTTTGAGTTGCTATTTATCAAAATTATGTTTTTCCCACACTTTTTTTATTTAACTTGCGAAAACTCATTTGTCAAAGTGACATTATTGTCAAAAAATTATTCAAAATCCAAAATCAAGAGAAAAATGAACTTTTCTTTCTACTGAGCTAAAATCTGAATCTCTGAAATAAGAGAAACTCATGGATGGTGAAATTCTGTTTGTTTACTTTATTTCCATTGTATGACTAAAGGGACCAGGCAACCTATTCACGAATATCCCTAAATCCTAGGCAGTAATTTCTTGTTGATACGACAATAATTAATCGTCCAAACGAATAATTTAACTGTCTTTTAATTCGATTACAAAACTGTCAAACAATCTCAATTTCCACCCATTTCAAAGTTACTAACAGCTATTAGCCCTCCTACACCACTGATTAAAATCTATTTATAACTGAAAATAACAAGCAAATTAATGAAAGAGACGAGACAACAACTTACAAAGGCAAATTTTTCTAGTTGGTCACTCAAAGTAAAATCCGATAAATTGATTGATGTCTCAATGAGCTGCGCTTTTGAAATGACGTTGGCAACACTGAATGATGTCCCTTACCTGGCAATATACACCGAACAGCGTCCCTTTCCGGGGATGTCCAGCATGTCAACTTGTCCTTCGCTTTGGTTATGGCCGTTGAGGTAGTTCCTCTCCGCCGTGTGCAATCCGCTCCAATCCGAATCGATTCCATCTGTCAACATTCTCGTTCTTGTGTCGGTGATTCCGCTCAGTGTCGTCGTTCCTAAACCCCACGTGGGGGGATGAGGGGTGACGGGGGTTGCGACACGTCGTGTTCCTGGAAAAAATCATCATTTCGATGATAAAAAATTTGAGAATGTGTGATAAGGACTTCCGGTTGAGGGTTGTTATCGGTTTTGCGCGAGGCCAAATCGATAACTACAAGACGTGATGCGTGAATGTTTAAGGGGTGATGTCTAGACGGAAAATTTTCAAGGTTGATTAAAAAAATTGTACACAATTTGGACTTGTTGACTATGTGGGGTGTTCCAGCGAGTTAAAAAAGTCCATTTTACCTTTAAATGGTAAAATTAAAAAAAAAATGTATAGGAGATTGATGGCTACTAATCTAGTGCATCACCTAAAATTATTTTCAATCATACAGCATGTCCCAAAAATAAGTTTAAATGAAACACCGCATGTTTCTTGGTATTTTTGGATGTAGCCTTTTAAAACAATGTTTTTACGCTAAACTTTTATTAGTCGATTTCGCTTAGTTTTAGAAATACGACGTTTTTTTTGACGAAAACATGCACTTTTAAAAAAATTATTACACAAAAACTAAGACAGTTAGAACAATTTTTTTCTTAGTTCTGCAAAGAAGAAAGTACAGAATTTAAAGCTGTAGCAATTCTTTAGTGTTTTGTATTTGTAAAGATTAATAAATTAAGAAGATTGTTAAAAGTTAAATAACTTAAAAAATTGAAATGGAACACTCTATTTTTCATGTTTGAATTTAATAGATTGATAAATTGTCTATCTTAAAAAATAAACTTTTAATGTCTAGAATTAATAAATAAAAAGATATTTAACATTCAATATTAATTGTAGCAACCATGCCTATCAATATTTGAGAATTGTTGATACTATGGCTAGTAATTCCACCACGGATCACGGATTTATCCAGAGATTGTAAAAGTCGTTATAAATACTAAAATTTAAATTATTCTAATGTAAAAAATAAAAAAAATGGATTCAGTTTAACACAAATGTGATTATTAAGTGATATTTCTTCAATCTCTTGTGGAACTGTGTACTTTTTGGCTACTGAAACAATAGTAATTATTTTTTTAATGTTTAACGTTAAATATCTTTTTAGTTATTGATTATAATCACCTAAAAGTAAATAATTTTAGAAAGACAATTTAATAATCTTTTAAATGCAAAAATAATAAATAGGGTGTTCCATTAAATTTTTTTAAGTTTTTGAACTTTTAACAAACGCCTTCATTTTTTTATCTTTGCAAATGCAACACACTAAAAAAATGTTACTACCTTATAGCTTGTACCTTCTTCTTTGCGGTAGTAAGAAAAAATTATTCTAGATGTCTTAGTTTTTGTGTAATAATTTTTTTTAAAGTGCATGTTTTCGTCAAAAAACCGTCTTATTTTTAAAACTAAGCAAAATCGACCAGTAAAAGTTTAGCTTAAAAACATTGTCTTAAAAATCTACATCCAAAAACGCTAAGAAATATATGGTGTTTCATTTAAAAAAACACAAGTTGCATTGTCACTTATTTTTGAGACACGCTGTATGGTTGAAAATAATTTTAGGCGATGGACTACATTAGTATCTATCAATTAACTATTTAGTATCTATGTACTATACTATGTAGTATCTATCAATGGACTTTTTTACCTCGCTGGGATAGCCTGTATATAAAATTTGGTCAAAAATTTGGTTTGATCAAGTTGTTTGGACTTGTTTCACAAGATTTTGTGTAAACAAATAGAATTCAAAGTACAAAAAAATGACTAAGTTCATAATTGAGTACATATAAAAAATAGATAGATTTTTGGACTTATCAACAATAACAATTAAGATTTAAAATCTTGGATTACAATACTTTGTGTAGGTATACTATTTGTACTCAAAAATTCGATTAATTTTTGATAGGTAACACAAGTTTCAAAAAAGAAGTTTTCCCAATAGTACTTTCTATAAAACATAACAAATAGTAATAGTACTAATAAGTACTTCTTATAATTTTATAAGATTGGGACTTCTCAACATAGCGGAAGTGTTCAAAATGAGTACTTACAAAACAAATATTTAAATTATTAGATTCAAGCGTTTCTAAAGAAAACTTCGGTCTTTGAATTTTGGACTACTTTCGTGTACTAAATTTTTAAGTTTTTGTGACACAAATTTAAGGACGTCTCCTCTCCAGATTATTTGACAAAGTACGATATTTAGCCTTTTTGCCCATCATTTTGAACATTTCATTTGAGTACAGAGAAAATTTGGACTTGTGTTTGGACTCACCTAGATCGACCTCATCCAGCGGCTTCAGTTTGATCGCCATGGGTCCAGTCAAGGCCAAACTGTTAAACTGCGAACTCAATGGATTCGAAAACGTGACATTATTACTATATGTGGTTGTAACCGGATTGTAGGGTAGACTAAACTGCGTTAAGGTATTCGTAGCCGAATTGTTAAACGTTGGATTATTGAAAGAAGTGGGCAATGCCGTGGGATTATTGGAGACCAAAGGATTAGTAAACGTAGTATTCGAGATGGTACTCGTCGCATAATTTGATGGTACTATCGAAGTACCCAACCCTGTGGATACCAATGAGGTACCCATGACGTTGGGACCCATCGAAGTGGTCAAATTCTGATGACCGAGAGTACCTCCTAGTACTGAAGTTTGTCCTAGTGTGGAACCCATACCGTGATGAGTCATGCTAGTACCCATCATGGGCTTGTTGGTGTAGGTGTGATATTGTGAGGTGGGGTTAAAATTCACCGGATTGGAGGAGATATAAGGAGAGATGTTGGTCGTACCTGGTTGGTAGGAGTTGTGACCGAGGGAAGTGGTGGGGTATATACTGGGCGTGGTGTGGGACATGGTGATGGGCGAAATAGGCGGGCTGCATTCGCCCAAGGCGTGGCTACTGGCGCTAGTCGCCAGACCGCCTCCTGAAACAAACCAAACGATTGGACACTCCACACTAATGGGCGTGGCATAAATGCATGCTACTGCTCCTACAGTTCGCATAAAAATCGTACCTGCGTGCGCTTTTTAAACGGACTGCAGCAGTCACGTGACCCAATTATAACAAGAAAACAAAAAAACATCTACTTGGACTTACCCAGCGTTGTGGATCGACTATGGTCTAACTCAGCTAATATTCGATTATCTTGCTCTATTTTAGCCATAATTCTTTCTATTTCAGTACCTTTATTTGGCCAATTTTGGCCAGCGGTGGATAGTGGACCCCCACTACCACTACTCCCGCCCACCGTCCTGCCTCTTTGTGATGCTGCCAATTCTAATTGCAGTTCTTCGCACCTAGGGGAGGAGTCATGAACACGTGACCCGTATAGCGGACGACGATTCGTATACCTGACCGTTTCTAGAGCTACTTTCTTTTCTAATTCTCTAACTCTAGATTGGCGGGCTTCGAGCGTTTCTGCTCCGCAGCCACGCAACGCAGCCAAGGCTTCGCCGTGCTGACGCTCCAGCTCAGACCTTCGGGCCTCGGCGGCCCGCAGCTGCATTTCCAGATCCATACACCTTTAACAACGCAAACACTGAACGCACTCGCCTTCGCCTCGCACACAAATTTGGACTTCCAATGGTATAAAATTGGCTAAAAGCCAAAAATCCATAATTTTAGTCATCCAAAAGGAAAAAATCCTAGATTTGTCAGTGAATCAAAACTAGGGGAATTTATTTTTTGACAACTTGAGCCAGGACTCAAACCTTTAAACAAAGTTTTTGATTTTTTTTATTTAAATAATTTAAATAATTTGAAAAAACACAAATTTTATATTTAAGGCACCTTTCATGTAGGATCGTCCCCATATTTTACAAATCAATAATCGCAATGGAGACAATTTTCTTTTTTTTTTTTGCAGCAAACAATGGAAATACGATGACCTGCTTCGAAATGGAATGAATGAGATGCTCGACCACGTGACCGGAAAACAAAAATGCGCGAGTAGAAATGCCTCAACAATACAACGTACAACAAATAATAAAAAACAACAAAATTTTGAGAGAATAACAAAATAAAAAAATAACCGGATTACAGACGAGTGAAGCAAGTTTTTTTTTCAATGAATGACGTCATGAGAGACCATTGTCAATATACAAGCTTTAGAATAAAATTTGACAGATCAAATGGGTGACTTTATTTATGTCGCGCACTGTACCTTACGCCATTTAACCTGCCACACGCTGTACACTTTCATACAAACAATAATAAATAAAATTAATTTCTAAAAAAAATATAAATTGAAGCTTGATATATTAAAAACAGTCAAGTTGAATAGTGTAGAAACAAATGAAAAATAAACAAATTTTAAACAAAACCCGATCGATTTATTGCTACCAACATGATGAAACGATAGTTAAGTTTTTTACTTGTCATAGATATTTTATTACCTAAAAGTAGTAAAAAAATGGGGGATTTTAAGACCGACTCCTAGATTTGTCAGTAAATCTTTCATGAATCAAAACTAGGGGAATTTATTTTTTGACAACTTGAGCCAGGACTCAAACCTTTAAAAAAGTTTTTGATTTTTTTAATACGACTCAAAATAATGAAATAAAATTTGGAAAAAATGTGGAAACAGCTGTACGAATCTGTTAAGCCTCTCAAGCCCTAATCTAATAGATAACTCTTTATCACTCTTAAATTGCTGTAACACATGTATCGATTCTGTAATAACAAATCACTTTAAAGCCCATCGCTGATAACATTACGAGAAAATGATGCAAAAATCTGGTGGATTCATGAGAGTGCACGGACGCCACTGGAATATAAATAAGTCGAAAAAATCGACCCACCCTTTACACACATTTAAACCATAATTGCTCCCTTCGAACTAACCATACACAAAATTTCACATAATTACTTGTCACGCGATTCGTATCGATTTTAAAATTATTTATGCGTTCTGGAGGAATTTCCAAAAGGCGCTCTCTCGCCCACCACTCGCATTTCCCACCCTGCCGCTTGCCCAAAAAGGGCTAAATCCGGGAAATCCCCCCGGTTTTGCAATTTTCGGAAAATTCCAATGCGAAATTAGCGCGAGTCCGGTGAACGAGGGCCGAACACGAGGGGGTTTTCGTGGGGGCTTTGGAACTAAAGAATTGAGTCTAGGACTTACCCCGATTTTTTAGATGTTTTTAGTGAAAATTTAAGGACGGAGACACTGAACTAGCTACAAATGGCGGCATCACTATATAGGTCACTATTGAATCAATCTGCGCGCGTCTTGAAATTGATTTCGGGGGACCGGAACGGCGTGACGTCACGCCGGGGGCGGCGGCATCTCACGACCGAGCCGGCAAGAAATCTAACACTTTTGGCAAAATTTCAAAAAAATTCGATGGGTTTGGAACTGAACTTTTGCACGCCCTATATATCATTACTTTAGTAATGGGGAAACTTTTTTTAACACATATTTTTTAATAAAATTCAGAATACAGGTAAATGAATGCACAAAAAATTGTAGTTTCAAGATTTTAAATTTTTAAAATGCGCCATCTGCGGACGTATATCGTAAATAACAAATTACAGGTCACTATAATTTGTTTTTTGCTAGATTTGGTCTAAAATTATTTAAATAATCAAAAAAATTAGTAAAAACTCGAAATAAATAAATGCAAATAAAATATTATATAGAATGTTTTAAAATTTATTTTTTTTGCAATACTTGTGCTTGCGCTATCTCTTATCTTGTCTTGTAAATATGAATTACAGATCACTGTAAGCTTTTTTTTTTACAGTTTTCTTTCATTCATATTCAATTTTTTATTTGAAACTGCTGTAGGGTGAGAATAAAACAGTCAAATACAAATAAAACCAAAGTGACTTTATTTGCGAAAAAAATCATACAACTGTTAACTGCAATTATATTTTTTCTGCTTTTTTTGACAATACTTGTTTTTCTGCACCAACATGGTGCACTGAAAATATTCACAGCTCTACAGATTTTTTAACCAATCAGTTGACATGAAAAAACCAACTATTGAAAAATATACTGCACAGCTTTTAATATTTAATCACTTAATCTATGAAAAATTTAAATAATTTTGATCTTATACAAAAAAAAAAAAAAACAAATTTTAACCGTAATCATTATTTTTGAGAGAATGTTTCAGGTGCCAAAGATTGCGTCGCACGTGATGAAAAAACACAAATTTTATATTTAAGGCACCTTTCATGTAGGATCGTCCCCATATTTTACAAATCAATAATCGCAATGGGGACGATTTTCTTTTTTTTTTGCTGCAAACAATTGAAATACGATGACCTGCTTCGAAATGGAATGAATGAGATGCTCGACCACGTGACCGGAAAACAAAAATGCGCGAGTAGAAATGCCTCAACAATAC